CTTTTTAATCAAGGTACGCTATTCTTCTGAACAATGTCTGGAACGACCCATTTTCCTCAGAATTTCAGAGAGAAATGCACTGTAACCAGCATGTACAACATTTGCTGCCTTCCTTCCTTAAATAAGGGCAATAATTGCCACCTGTTTTTCAAAGAATGAATGACCTCACTAATAGAACTCCACACTATTATTTTGAACATGCCCCTTTCAGTTAGTGATTCAATTACACAGAATCAGCAGCATGCATGTCATGACTGTTGGGTCTGTTGGATTTCTATTACTCTACTACGCATGCTAGTAAATTATTTGCCATGTAGAAATATAATTTCTACCAAAAACAGTGATTGATCAGGTTAGTGATGTCTGACTGCTATTATTTTGAACACAACTGTATGCTCATCCTTCCCTGGATAAATCCAACCTACCTTTGGAAACCCCTAGAAATCAAACGATTTTATGAGGCCAGGCTGCATGGTGCCAGAAAAAGCCAAGAAGTTCCAAACAATTTAACAGGTAATTATTGGGGGAAGGAACTTGGATACCAATGCCTTCCAGTAGCAGGGTCGCATACATACATACATACATACTCTCTCCAGTTTTTATATGAAAGTGGAGAATTGTTTTAAATATTCATCTGATAATTGGAATATTGTTATATACTGAATACAACTGTGACGTCAAAAGACATGAAATGATGAATTTTTGTTTTTCACCTGCAATGCCATCTGTAGATGAAACTAAGTACTGTGGGTTAACTATGCTGATATGCAAAAACAGTGTGCCAAATGTGACTGTTTTAGACTTTACTGATGAAAATAAAGCGATTTTGATGGTAAAGCTGACATTTACTAAGCTAAGTCACGTGTGCCAGCACAAGTCTGATCACTGCAGAAGAGCAGGCTGAGTTCCAGCAGAGCCAGAAAACTGACCATACTGTGCTCTTCAGGCTAGTGCAGTCAGTTTTTAATAGGAAAGCAGAGGGACTGGCAGGAACACCATGGGTTTCACACAAAGAAAACAGTAAAAAACAGAACAGGATACTTTTTCATACAAGTACATGATACAGCAGGCATATATCAGGAATATGAAATGTTGGGTTAACATATTCTTTCAGTTTGGCAAACATTTCAACTCAGTAGAATGGAGTCCCATTTCTAGCAGGTTAGGGGCTGAGATCCACATAGAGGGGGTGACAGCTGAGAGGGGGATCTCCTATTTCTTTCAACCACTACAACAAAATGGGATCTTTATCCTATCAGGTTGAGCACATACATAATAATACAACATTTATTATTTTTCCCTCACTGTCACCCCTGGTAGTACAATCGGCATTATCCTAAAGTGCCAAGACCATTCAGCTAGGAGTGCCGAACATGTGTCACAAAGGGAAGTTTACAACCTAGCCCAGCTGCCAGCATGCTGTAGTACCTCAAAGTAAAAACAAACAGGCATGTAACACTGCGGTGGACTACCAAGAAATAGAGGCCATTTTAATGATTTATCATATTGGAAACAGATGGAAGCTCAATAACTACAGCTTGGGGGAGGAGAGGTAGAAGAGAGTTATGACAGATAACTGCTCATACATTAAAGGATTAAAAGGAAAGGTCATCACTCTGAGACAGAGACAGAAGGGAGAACAGGGTGTGTGTGCGCGTGAATCAGACCTCTCACCAAGGTCAGAGATTCTTTTTCAATTCTAAATATTTTCTTAATATTTATTAAAAATGATGGTATTACAGCTTACCACTCCTTAGATGTGGTGGCTGCATTCGTATTCTTTTATTACACTTTTCTTTTCCTTATTTTAAAGTATATGTAAACAGGGCCCTCCTAACCCTCTTGTATTGAACTGTATCGTTGCTGTATTGTCTCCCTTTATATTGTAAAGTGCTGAGCAAACTGTTGGTGCTATATAAATCCTGTATAATAATAAATGTAAATTCAATTGAAAATAGATATGAAATTATGTGCTACATCTGAATGCATTGTACTTTGTGTACAGTAACCTTGCCAATGTAACCTATTGCACCGGGCCACTTTTTATATTCCTTATTATTATACAGAATTTTGGCAGAGAAAGGGGGTCTTCCTGATTTCAGCACTGCTTGGATCCCATATTCATGAAGGCCATACTGCCTAGATTACATACCTCCCAATTTTAGAACTCTTAAAGGAGACACACCTTGCAAGGAAGGGTATATACATGCACCTCAACCTTTGATCCAAGGCTTGAGGAAATAATTTGTGTCTGTATTCACAACATTCATGTTGTTTGCCAAAGAGTAATTGTTATAAATGGTAAAAAATTGAAGCAGTAATCTGTACTCCTGGCTTATTTGTCCTCTTTGCTCATTTAGTTCTACTAAAGTAACATTTTGGAAACTGCTTAATGTACTTGGCACTCTAGTGCTGATAGAACAAAAATCAAGAATATTTTTTTTTTTTTTTATTAGAAATGTGGAAAGCCAATATTTTATGGAAGGAGAATTCACAGAAATGTTAATGCTAGATGGGCATCCTTTCCATCTGAGTTAAAGTGACTCTGTAAATGTAAAATAAAGAAATCTGCTAGCAGCCATAAATTGAAGAGATTCCGAGGTACCTGTACATACCTGCAGCAGAATTTTCCATTGCCATCTGCTGTGCCTAGATGCTAGACATTTCTGAACAGGCAAAGCTCCCACAATTATATGTTGGGTCAGAGCTTGCTTGCTCCAAGCCAATGACTAGAGCCAAATCTGGTATTAGAGAACTACCTGGCATTCAGTTGTAGCAGAGGGTTGCAGTACGTTCAGGAACCTCTAGATACCTACAGTTTATACCTGTGAGCAACTATGTTTTTATGCGAGTTACAGAGTTACTTCTTACTTGCACACTTCAGATCAGTGACTCAGAAAACATTTAGTATTTTCACAAGGAGCATTCAACATTGGTAGTCTACTTTTTTCTCTTAGTAGAGATTTCCTTTGAAATGAACAAGCCTAAGCTTGCAATAGGTGGATCAAAATTTGTCCAGTTCAGCAGAGACTGTCTAAATTTCAATTCATGTATAGCTGTTTCTGTTTGCCAGAAGTCGGTTGTTAGATCAACGTCTGTTGAACGGGAATGTTGCAAAACATTTGCAAATCAACAGCTGGATTTCTGCGTAAATGTCTTGTAAATGAAGTCTGATCTTAAACTAAGCCTCAATATTTTAAGCAGCCTGAGCCAACCATAAATTAGTAGATGTCACCCTGAGAATAGGCAGTAGTATGGGGAGAAGATCCCCGTACTAGCTGTCACTTTTTAAAAAAACAGCTCCGCCCAGTCATTTATTAACATTGTTTTGTGAATGAATGAACGAACTACAAGTGCTGTGGAGTGCCACCGTAGTTCATTGATTCTTCCTATCAGTATATGTGCTTGCCTGTACAGGCAAGCATATATACTGACAGGTCTGCAGGAGACCTGCATGACACCTGCTGATCGCTGGTGCAATGCTTTACAGGCTCCTGCAACCAAAAATAATAAATGCACAAAAATGTGCATTTATTATTTTTGGTCAAAAGGTGAACTTATCCTTTAAACACACGTGCATTTCATGAATGGAGGAGTCAAACTGTGAATACAACTGTAAATTTTGTAGATTTAAGCCAGCATCACGCACATTTCACAGATAAGCTACCTGGTCCTACAGAAACATGCTCGTATGAACCATGGGATACATGCTCAAAAAAAGCTCTTGAAAACATTTAATACTTAAAGCAGAGCTCTAGTCATGTTTATAAAAAGGTACAAAAACTGTAGCGGCTGACTTTTAAAAAAACAGTCACTCACCTGTCCCACCGTCCATCGCTGTACTCAGCTCAAAGGTTGTCAGTTTGTCTCCTCTCTACCCGGCATCTTTACTATGGGCACGCGGCTGTGACAGCTTGCAGCTTCACAGCTGGGTGCCCACTGCGCAAGGGCGAGCGGCGCTGCGCACTGTGACTGGTCTTGAAGTCTTCTGTGGCCTGTCGCTGGATGAAGGAGAACAGGGGCATTTTTGGACAGCAACATTGTCAGTCTGAGGGGAGAAGTGTTAAATGGACTAGCAGATTTAAATGCACTAACATATATAATATAATAAATGTTTCTTTTTGAGTTTAAAAAAAACTTTACAAAACCTGATATTACCCTAAGGCCAGGGTTGGCAGCCTGTCAATTTGAGATCTACCTGTTGATCACGGGAAGCCGATCAGTAGATCACAATCAGGGCTGTGCTGATGCATCCCCCCAGCCTCCGCCGCTCTCCTTTTCAAAGCAGAATGGAGGGCGGGAGCATGGGAGCTGCTTTAGTTACCTTTGCAAGTTAACCAGCAGTTGATTGGTTGCTAGGTGGTCCTAGCAACCAACCATCAGCTTATTAACATGAGAAGTTAACTCCATCCAGTAGGAGAGAGGTACCTACACAAGGATGTGTGTTGTGCAGGGGCAAATGTCACTACTTGTAGAGGACAAAGTTCACTTCTTTGGGGAAGGGGGAGGGGAGGCACAGGTCACTACTGTGTCCACCACAGCTCCACTCCTCTGCCAGCAGATCTTTTATTTCTTCCCTGTTGTCCAGGTAGATCTCAACCACTGAAAGTTTGCCTACCCCAGCCCTAAGGCCTCATTTACACTTGCAGTCGGGGGACAATAAAAATCAACTGAGCCACTTTTTTATGGGGATAAACACATGGCGCAGTAACGTTGCTGACCAAGAACCATTCAAGAAAATTGGGCCAGGCCACAAGTGTCAGCCAAACACTTTTTTCACAGATGTGTCACGGTACTGTCATTCAATAACCTCTTTCCGGCTTTTTAAAAAAATAGGGATTAAGGACATTGCAGTATCAACTTCTGAACATCTGAAAGCTGATCCTGGACCACATTCTGAAAAACAATCCACCTCAATTTTAAAACACTTCCACAGGTGAAAGTGAGCCCTAAAACCATTTTGTTTATTTTATGAGAGGACACAGGGTGAAAGAATTTACCTGGACTGCCCGGTCAATGTTTCCCACCGGCCTGACTTAAGGCCTCTGCAGCAGCAGTCTCTCAGAATACCCCATCCCGCGCAGAGTATTGATCTTGTCCAGTCGTTTTCTTTTCTTCTCTCTCTCTTCTTTTTTAATCTCTGCCTTTTCCTGAAAATTATAATAAAAAATGTTTTAATTTCATCAGCCTAAAAAGGTCAACAAGAAAAAAAAATATTCAGATTTCAGTATCTGATAAGAATCCCATTCAATTAACTGAGAGACTGACTGTCAATTTGGCATTATGGCTACAGGAAAAACATAAAACGTAATTGCAGAGCTGAAAACATTATACTGTAAGGCTGGCCATACGTTAAGCAATTTTCTTGTTAAATTTTCTTTTAGATTTACCAGAATCATATAATATGAAGTCAAACCTAAACACTTTCAATTTGTATGCAATCTGGCAAGCTCTTGCACCACAAAGTTGAAGGTAAATCTAAAGGAAATTGAATAAGAAAACTGTAATAATAATATATGGCCAGCTTAACTCTAGTTCCCTCTAAAATAGTGCCATCATGGCTTAAATATCATTATATAGAGACTCCATTGCCTAAATACTACACCTAAAACCACAAACCTCTATATTGTAGCTTACCAGTCCTTAGATGGGGTGGCTGCCTTCATTTTGTATTTTAGGCTTTTTAGGTTATTTTCACCTGGTGACCTGGCTATCAAGACTGTAATTTTTCAACTTCCTTTAGCACAGCAAGCGGTCCAGCAAATGTGGTAGTTAGAAGGTTAAGACAAACCATTTACAACTGACATGTGCATACAATGCTCAGCATTTATTCATTTATGTTAAACCTTTATCCCAAATGGAACAAAAAAAAAATGTTGCTGAAACAATTTATAAAGTGTTAGCTGGAATTCAGCTTTAATTTGTTAGTTAAAACGGAGCTCCACCCAAAAGGGAAGCTCTCTTTTTTGCACCCTCCACTGCCGCATTTGCCACTTTTCTGGGGGGTAGGGGGGTAGGGGGGAATGGGTACCTGGTTTTGGCAGGTACCTGCTCCCACTTCTGGCTCAGTTCACCACAGCAAATTGAGCTGGAAGTTCGGTCCCCCTCTTTCCCCCCCGTAGTCTTCTGGGACACTTCACAGGCCCCAGAAGACTACAGGAACATTCACAAGGCACAGCGTAACTAGTTCATGTGCAGCAGGAAACCGGTAGTAAAGCTGCAAGGCTTCACTTCCAGTTTCCCTTACTTACTATACCGGCGCTGAGAACCCAGGCTAGTGGAGAACTAGACAGGGTGAGAACGGCACTGGACCCCTGGACAGGTAAGTGTCCTAATGTTAAAAGTCAGCAGCTACAGTATTTTCAGCTGCTGACTTTAAATTGTTTTTGAGGAGCCTGGAGCTCCCCTTTAGGTCCATCTAAATCTGTTAGTGCATCTAACACTACTCTCTCCTCTGACTGACAATGCTACTATCCAAGTGTGGCTCCATTACTCTTCCATCAAGAGTGGAGACATCCTAAGACAGGAACGGTGTAACTGGCCAGCTTACCAGATGAAGAGAAAAAAAAAAAAAAAAAGGCTAAAAAGAAAACTAATGCAGCCACCACATTCAGCCAGGGCTGGGAAGCTTCAATGAACTAAAATCTTGTTTTTGGATTTAATAACACTTCAAATTATTTACATATTCTTAGAGTTGAACTCCAAAGAAATGTAAATGCTTTTTTTCTAGGGTACCATTAAAAAGCAATAATACTTACCTTATGCCTCGCTCCCTGTTAGCCAGCGCTTTCCTCTTCCCTTCAACGGCTTGGGTTGTGGGCGGGCCTTCGACCTCATCATTTACAATGCTGTAAGTATAGTGATGCCTAATACAGGTATGGCATTGCACATACTTACATTGAGATATATACATATATATATATAGATATATATATATATATAATTTTTTTTTTTTTATTGCCTACATCTGCTATAAAATCTAGCCTGTAATCGAATTTCTAATTGCACTGGTTTAGCTAACTGCATCATTTTGAATGCAAGACCAGGAGTCTTTACTCTCTGTATAAGAAATCAGAAATGCATATAAAAGTTTCAAAACCCTGTGTGTTAACCTTTATTGTGGGAGATCTACAAAAATACAACAGCTTCCCTGTAAGATGCCAAACAAAGTTTTGCCTCACACGTCATACACAGGAATCCGATGTAGGATAAATAAGAATAAAGGCCTGACATTTGATTTGTGTGGTTATCGGTAAGTTGAGTCATGCTGATCTTGTAAATCTCTCTCCGGTGACTACAGTGCTGAAATATTCCAACACTGACCACTGACGCCAAACATCCTCAGAGTTGTCACACTCCACTGGGGGAGTCCGACACCATTGTTTGGCTCAGAAAGGCCACAGAAATGACAAGGCCAAATGATGTGGCCCCACTCCCTGATAGGTTCAATATGTTCAACAATAATATGACTGGTAGGTCCAGTTGTGACCTACAGTGCATTTCTGGCAAACCTTTTTTTTTTTCTTTCTAGCTTTGGGCATTAGGGTAAGGGTTACGCCATCAAGTTTTTATCCCAGTTTGGGCTCCATTGGGGAGATTCAACACCGTGTTTGTCCTAATGACTATTGTCAATGAAACAGAACGTGAGGGGAATTCAATAATTGTTTTTTTAAATTGCCCCTAGAACTAAGGGTAAGGAGAACTCACACCTGTTCTGGGGACAACTGTCTTAGAGGGGGTTTCCCTCACCAAGGGAGATTAGCTCTAAATTCCTGTTGCATCTCTGAAGTTAAGGGAAATTTCCCCAATGGTATGCTAACAGCAAAGAAAAGAAAAAAAAAAAAAAAAGGAACCTGCCCAATCAGCAGGCTATGGATGCATGTTTGCCCAAGTTGTGCCAAAGTGTGTCTGTACACCCAGCTGTTTTCCTGAAGTTTTAAACTTACCTGTATTTTATAATGAACTATATATCTGGTGTATTCACCTTTTTCTCTAATTTGTCTATAACTAAAAGAGAATCTTAACATAAACGTTGTCATACCTCTCGTTTACATGAAATATGGTTAGCAGCATGTTCCACATTCCCGTCACATGCCCGCAGTGCCAAGCGTGCCTCTTGAGCTGAGCACCCCAACTGTAATAAGGTCTCTACTTTTGCTGGGTCAATGGAGAGCTCATTATACAATCGACTAGCCTGAAAAACACAACAGATACATTTTTCACAGAGGGAAATGACCGTCAATGACCATCAAAAGTTTGCAAATGAGGCAGCGCTACGTTACATGGCTTACCTTATAAAATAATGTGTAAAATACAGCTTCCAAATAAACAACTAACCAGCAATCAAATTCAATTAGCCTGACTTCTCTAAACTATTACAAACCTGAAGTTGGTCCTGGTCTGCTTTAGTGATTTTGACCTTTATCAATATAAATGGGCAGTACAGTGGCTAAATGGTTAGCACTTCCGCCTGGCAGTACTAGGGTCGTTGGTTTGATTCCCAACCACTGTCACATGCCTGATAAGGGGTCCTGCGACACTTTAAAACGTTGCCTTGCTTTAACTAAGTGATCGTTCATTAAAAACTTTGGACCCATATTGGTGATCCTCGGTGTGCTGGTGACATTCTCCCTTGCTCATTCCCAACCATGGGACCACCTGCCTGGAGTTTGCATGTTCTCCCTGTGCCTGCGTGGGTTTCCTCCAGGTACTCCGGTTTCCTTCCACACTCCAAAAACATGCTGGTAGGTTAATTGGATCCTGTCTAAAAAGGCCCTAGTATGTGTATGTATGAATGTAACTTAGGGACCTTACATTGTACACCCCTTGAGGGTTAGGGACTCATGTGAATGTACAATATATATGTAAAGCGCTGCGGAAATTGACAGCGCTATATAAGTACCTGAAATAAATACAAATAATAAATTTAGACAATCAAATACTTGATCCCAGAATGGGACTGTGTACATGGGCATTTTTTTGAAAACACAAATCAGCATGAATGCAAAGGCAGCCTTAATCTCAAAAGAAATTCAGAAGCATCTCAAATGCAATACTGACCCCATTGTAAATTAAAAACTTCCATTATTGTACCTCTGATAGTTTTTCTGATGCTTCGTTGGCTCTTCCATTGTGGTAATTTACTATTCCTTGCAGAAGATTGAGTCTTAGAAATAAAACTTTCTCTCTCCCGTAGCTGCCCTGTAACATAGAACACACAATAAACACAAATAGTAAACATGCACAAAATAATAAAAAAATGTTTAGTCAACACGTTTGCAGTTACTTTAAAAGAGAAGTATGGCCAAAGCTTTTTTTGGTCATACTTCTCTTCTGCGTCACAGGAGTGCACCTACTTGTGGCCTCCTGTGACCCAGAGTGATCAGTCAGCCGGCTAAAGCCTACTGTCAGCTAACATCACAGAGGCGGTCCAGACACCAGACAATAATGTCAGGATCCACCCCAATGCCTGACCGGCAGCTGGCTCATCCTCTCAGCATGCTAATGATCCTCATAGGATTCCAGTGTCGTAACTTTCTGTGGACTGAATTGAAATCTTAAAACAATTCTATCAGCTTTCTCAGCTATATTCTGTGAACTACAAAGCAAATTCTCCCTATGTAATGGAGATGAGAAGAGGGGGAGATACTTGTAGTCCAACTCAGAAGAGCAGCCTAAGGTGACAATGCTGCTACTCCACAGATACCATACAGGGAGTGACAGTTGTCACCCAAGGACAGAAAGTGTGTTACTGGCAGGATCACCAGGTGAAAATAATGAAAAAAAAGCCTACAAAAAGAAAACGAATGCAGGCACCACATCTATGGAACAAATTCCATACTCCTTGAAGTGTTGGTTTATGAAGATTTCAGGGGATGATTCCTCTGGAACAGAGAAATTTACAGCATGGGCAGCAAGAAAGATATGCATTTAAAACCTTTACATAGAAACTTTTTTTGAGATATTTTACATTATTTTTCTGACAGGGTCACCTTAATGCATAGGAATGGTACTTCTCAACACTACAAACTGACCAGCCAAAACACTAAGATCGCTGACTGGTAAAGTGAATAACATTATCTGAAAGTCAGTGGGATATATCAGGCAGCAAGTAAACATGTTGTCCATGAAGTTGATGTGTTGAAAGCAGAAAAAAAATGGGCACTGAAGATTATTATGCATGGGGCTGTGGACCAGTCAAGGTGCCAATGCTGACCCGTGCCCACAACCAAGAGCTCCCACAACGGGCACATGAGCATCAGAACTGGACCACGGAGCATTGGAAAAAGGTGGCCTGGTCTGATGAATGACATTTTCTTTTACATCATGTGTTTGGCCAGGTGTGTGAGTGCATCTCTTACCCGGGGAAGAGATAACACCAGGAGGCACTATGGGAAAAAGGGAAGCTGGTGGAGGTAGTGTAATTTTTTTTGGCAATGTTCTGTTGGGAAACCTTGGGTAACACCATTCATATGGATGTAACTTGACACGTACTGCCTACCTAAACACTGTTGCTGGGCAAGTACACCTCTTCATGAAAATAGTATTCCCCCGATGAGTGGCCTCTTTCAGCAGGAAAATGTGCCCTGTCACCCTACAAAAATGGTTCAAGAATGGTTTGAGGAACACAAGTTTGAGGTGTTAACTTGGCCTCCAAATTCTCCAGATGTCAATCCATTCAGAATCTCTGGAATGTACTGGGGAAAAAAAAATTTGATCCATGGAGGCCCACCTTGCAACTTTCAGGATCTGCTACTGATGGCTTGATGCCAGATACCACAGCATACCTTTAGAGGTCTAGTGGCATCCATGCTGCAACAGGTCAGGGCTGTGCTGGCAGCAAAAGGGGGACCTTCTCAATATTAAGTGGGTCAGCATAATGTTATGGCTAATTGGTGTATATGATTTGGCAGTTCGATTAGCAGGAGGTTTTGTTGACCAGAACATTACAAACTATATGAATGCTCTTTCTCCAACAAAACTCGCTCTTTAATCACAATAAATTGTTCCATGTCATTACCAGGTCACTTGAAGAACTCTGAACAGCAATGAAATATTATGTCTCACATGTTAATGAAAGCAAGCTGTACAAAATGTGTTTGTCCAAACTTATTTTCCACATGAAGCAGTCAGCTGGCATTTGAGTGAAAATATATTAATAAACTGGTTTGGCCTTCCCATGTGGAAAAAGCCATGTCTGTGAGTGAGAGAATCTTATAAGTGTCACATCAGTATTACAGCATATTGGGAAATACCCCCATAATGGTTCCTGTCTTAGCCAAAATAATGCTTATCGTTCTCAATGTAAAAAACATGTCCAAAGACAGCATTTCCCGCAAAAATAATTACCAAACCGTTAAGTCAGTTAATAATATAGCTGGATTTTTAAAGAGTCAATTCACCCATCCACTAAAATTTAGTGTGTGTGTGGTGTGTATATATATATATATATATATATATACACACACACACACACATGGGGCAAAAAAGTATTTAGTCAGCCACCAATTGTGCAAGTTCTCCCACTTAAAAAGATGAGAGAGGCCTGTAATTGGCATCATAGGTAGACCTCAACTATGAGAGACAAAATGAGAAAAAAAAATCTAGACAATCACATTGGCTGATTTGGAAAGAATTTATTTGCAAATTATGGTGGAAAATAAGTATTTGGTCACCTACAAACAAGCAAGATTTCTGGCTCTCACAGACCTGTACCTTCTTCTTTAAGAGGCTCCTCTGTCCTGCACTCATTACCTGTATCAATGGCACCTGTTTGAACTTGTTATCAGTATAAAAGACACCTGTCCACAACCTCAAACAGTCACACTCCAAACTCCACTATGGTGAAGACCAAAGAGCTGTCGAAGGACACCAGAAACAAAATTGTAGACCTGCACTAGGCTGGGAAGACTGAATCTGCAATAGGCAAGCAGCTTGGTGTGAACAAATCAACTGTGGGAGAGATAATTAGAAAATGGAAGACATACAAGACCACTGATAATCTCCCTCGATCTGGGGCTCCACGCAAAAGATCTCACCCCGTGGGGTCAAAATGATCACAAGAACGGTAAGCAAAAATCCCAGGACCACACGGGGGGAACTAGTGAATGACCTGCAGAGAGCTGGGACCAACGTAATAAAGGCTACCATCAGTAACACACTACGCCGCCAGGGACTCAGATCCTGCAGTGCCAGACGTGTCCCCCTGCTTAAGCCAGTACATGTCCGGGCCCATCTGAAGTTTGCTAGAGAGCATTTGGATGATCCAGAAGAGGATTGGGAGAATGTCATATGGTCAGATGAAACCAAAATAGAACTGTTTGGTAGAAACACAACTCGTCGTGTTTGCAGGAGAGAGTTGCATCCAAAGAACATCATAACTACTGTGAAGCATGGGGGTGGCAACATCATGCTTTGGGGCTGTTTCTCCGCAAAGGGACCAAGACGACTGATCCATGTACAGGACAGAATGAATGGGGCCATGTATCGTGAGATTTTGAGTGCAAACCTCCTTCCATCAGCAAGGGCATTGAAGATGAAACGTGGCTGGGTCTTCCAACATGACAATGATCCCAAACATACCGCCCCGGCAACGAAGGAGTGACTTTGTAAGAAGCATTTCAAGGTCCTGGAGTGGCCTAGCCAGTCTCCAGATCTCAACCCCATAGAAAACCTTTGGAGGGAGTTGAAAGTCCGTGTTGCCCAGCGACAGCCCCAAAACATCACTGCTCTAGAGGAGATCTGCATGGAGGAATGGGCCAACATACCAGCAACAGTGTGCGCCAACCTTGTGAAGACTTACAGGAAACGTTTGACCTCTGTCATTGCCAACAAAGGATATATAACATCATATGACGTCCTTCCAGAACGAGAGAACCACCTTGTGTCCATCATATTACTATATGGCAGGCGGGAAGTGGTTAAATATGGTTTTGGTTAAAATTATTTTTTTTTTTATCAGGACAAGCAGATTGTCATAAGTGACAAGTAGTTTGGGACCCCGATTTAGTCCCTTGGTCAAGTAGTTTTTTAAAACATTTCCACATCCCTGGAATGCGAGCCATGCCTTCTCGTCTGACATCAGTGCCTGACCTCACAATGTGCTTCTGGAAGAACGGTCAAACATTCCCATAGACACACTCCTAAACCTTGTGGACAGCCTTCCCAGAAGAGTTGAAGCTGTTATGGCTGCAAAGGGTGGGCCAACTCAATACTGAACCCTATGGACTAAGGCTGGGATGCCATTAAAGTTCATGTGCGTGTACAGACAGGCATCCCAATACTTTTGCCCATACTTTTTTTTAATACAGCACCAAACACATTAGGTATGTGTGATGTTGTGTATCTCATTACCTGCAGAAGCCTGTTCTCGTAGAAATCGTCCCTTCGGTATCTCCTTCACAGCCGCCAAATACTGCCCTGAGTGGCTGTATTCCAATGCTGTGAAAGTTAACAGCCATCACCGCTCAGCTCCCTCGCTGCCCTCTCCGCCATTCATATTGCTCACATGACCACATGCCCACAATGCACTGCGTTCAAGAATGAGCAGTCATTCAACTGCTTCTCCTCCATTCACAGAATGCTATGTATGTGGAGGTGTAATAACGCGAGTGGCGCAACTTTTCTCAGTAGCAGTCAATGCTGTTAACTTTTTCAACACTGGAAAACAGCCATTTAGGTCAGTATCCATCAGCTGTGAAGGAGACAGATGATTTTTAGCAGAGGCAGCTGCAATAAACAGTATATATACTAAACTTCAGATTTAAACCTCAAATTACATTTAAAACAAAAAATAGAAACATTAATTAGTAGCAAATAATTAAATTAAGTGTTTTACTGTCTATAGGCTTTTAACACCGCACTTCTAACACACCGCCTTGCAACCTGCAAAGCTCACAACGTCAGCTGACTGGAGAGCTTTAGCTTTTGCTGGAGGGTCATGGGGTAATCAATGTATTAGGAGTGCATAGGGGCATGCATGTTGGTGAAGTGGCTATGAGCAGGGTCATGCACCGGAGTGCAGTAGTGGTGAGTGGGGTTGTCTGCTGATGTTAACTTACCAGTTAGAAAAACAAATGAAACCAAAAACCAAGAATACAACAGCCTTACTAATTCTAGATTGTAGAGACAACATACCTTTATGTTGACAAGTCTCTCATGATTCTCTCCATAGCATCTATTGAAGCACCTCTGGGACATATTTAGTTTTGAGTCTGCATCATCCAAGCAGTCTAACTGACCCAGGCGAAAGTAACACCATACAATGTCAAGCTGCAGTACAGCATAATTATCCACAGAATCCAGCAGTTCTGTCCCACATTCACTGAAGAAAAAAGAAAAATATACAGTAAGTACAGCAAAATAAAAAAAAAAAAAAACTCCATGTATATCAATCTATTGTAATACAGAAGAGATGTATATACTATTAGGGGTTGAATCTAGTACATCAACATTTTTATTTAACCACTTGCCCCGCAGAGGATTTACCCCCCTTCCTGACCAGGCCATGTTTTTGCAATATGGCATTACTTTAACTGACAATTGTGCGATCATGCAACGCTGTACATGAATGAAATTTATTCACAAATAGAGCTTTCTTTTGGTGGTATTTGATCACCTCTACGGTTTTTATTTTTTGAGCTATAAACAAAAAACTTTGACTTTTTGCTACAAAACATATCCTTTAAATAAAAAAAATTAAATCAAATTTCTTCATAAATTTAGGCCAAAATGTATTCTGCAAAATGTCTTTGATAAAAAAAAGTGAAAGTTATAGCATCTAATAATCTAATTACTAATGCTAGTAATGGTGGTGATCAGCGACTTATAGCAGGACTGCAGGAGTTAAGTGGTTAGAGGAAAAAAAAAAAGAAAGATTAAAAAAAAAAGGGTAAAAAGACCTGAATTATTTTTTTTTTTAAGTCACCTGTCATGATGGGGTAAAAAAAAAAAATGTCCTTTATATCACAAAAAAACTGCAGATAATCACTACTCTTAGGGATTAATTTATACTGTGAAACAGTGAAAGTAATAATATATATATATATATATATATATATATATATGATCTGTTATATATTAATAAATATAACCTCAGGTAGGATGTACAAGGCATTTTAACTGAGAGTCAGATATGAAGCTATATGAAGGGGGGGGGGGGGGTTTATAAATCTTTTATAGTCTCTGGGTTCTGATGTTGATCTTCCCTGCACAAAACCCTTAACCACTTGCCTACCAGGCACTATTACCCCCTTCCTGCCCAGGCAAATATTCAGCTTTCAGCGCTGTAGCAATTTGAACGACAAACTAAATGTTTATCATTTTTTTTACAAATAGAGCTTTCTTTTGGTGGTATTTAATCACTACTGGGGTTTTTATTTTTTGCCAAACAAAAAACAGACCAAAAATTCAAAAGAAAAGAAAAACATTTTTGTTAAAAAGTTTTGTAAATAAGTGATTTTTCTCCTTCACTGATGAGGCTGCACTGCAGTGTAAACCTAGCATTTTCTTAAGATTTGTCCAGGCCTGTTCTTTGGCCATACAGGTCTAATTTTTAGATGGAAGATGTCAGCTATGAAGATGTGGGATATGATGGCTGATCTGTAATTAGGATAAGAGCTAGGGAACAGGACCCCCTTAGTTAATAGGAGTCCTGAGAGTTTTGACAGAGATCCTAGGAACTGAATGATTTTATAAATACATAGACTGCAATTCTTTAAACAGACATTTGGAATAACAAAGGGAAAGTGAAAAAATAAATATAAAAATTGAGACAGAAACATCACTCTGTAACGTGCCCTTAGATCTAGCAGAATGGATTTCCAAAGATCAGTAATGGCACAATATTATTTTTAACTTCAGTTTCCACAAAAACTTAAAAACATTTCAGCTAAGACCTGACTTGTAATTCACAGGAGGATAAATATGATTTATACCTCCATTACCAATGGGCAAATAAAAGATTTCTCACTTAACCCTTGAAACTGATAAATTCTGCAACAAGCTGAAACAATGATTGATATGGGTTGGCCAAATGAATCAATCAATGCGCCATCCACACATAAGAAGACTACAGTTATTTAGCTCAGTGTTTCTCATTCCTTTATTAGTCAAGGCACCCTTTAAAATTATGGATAATCTCAAGGTACCCTTTAAAATTCTGCACAATCTCAAGGCATCCCAATCTAAAATGTAAAAAACTATTCCACACACATCGAGTACGCCCAACGTTAGAGGCGATTTATTCTTCCAAAGCAAACTACACCTTTGCACACTGGAACCAACTAGTATTCCAGTGTGTCTCTCCCATTTTCTCTCCTTCAGTCTGCTAATGTGACCCCAATGCTCACGGAGCGGGGCAGGGGAGAGCCAAACAAGGATGACGTGCATTCACCCAACGTCCTCCTTATCAATTGATGATGTCATTGGTTGTTAAGATTCTGGCAGGTAGAAGGTCATAAAAGTGCACAATGAAAACCTGTGGCTTTGTGTACTAAAAGGCAGGATTGATCCACCTGCTGGCTTGTATACAATTTTTGGGCATTTTGCCAAGGCACCCCTGAAGAAGCCTGAAGGCACCCAAGTTGAGAAAGGCTGATTTAGCCACTAGTATATAGGAATTTAAATTTAATTAATTCAATAACAAGCGTAGGAGCTATTAAGATGTAGATGCTTGATTAGTGCATTTAGGACCAATAAATACCATATCTTCGGTGATTCCTTTAACAATGTCTATTTTTGCATCATCCAGTACTTCATGAATGATTGACACCAGCTCTGTTGTCATTAAAAATAAATGTGTAATTATACTGGGAAAAGGATGCTGCTGGTGCAGAGCAAACCTCTTTAATCCTCAAGAGGTCATTTAGGGCTTTTCCCCCACTTTTTCTCATCCAAACATCATAGCATCGCAGTGATTTTCACACATAGGGGTTGTCTAGGATAACAAATACCACAAACATTTATCAGCCTCCTAGCTATTATGTCACACAGCCCTGTCAATTTGTCCTTACAACAGAGCTGCCTCAGTCTCTCAGCTGACTGATTCCATCAGTCATTAGACTGGAATACATACAGACTTCTACTAACTTATCATAGACTACACATAGAATACCTCTTCACAATCTTTCATTCTCAGACGTCAATCTGGCTCGGAGTCCTCTCTGTGTTGATCAGACAGGCCTGGTCCTTCGTTCCCCTCATGTCAGGCTTCACAGAGGAGCAAAGCCTAATGCAGGCCATACATGGGTTGAATTCTGAACACATTTTATTTAGAAAATTGGAAATTTCGTGTGGTTTGTAATCCGATGCCACCATTCGAAATTCGACCAACCAGGCAGAATTTCACCTCATGTTGCTACAGAAAAGAATTTTCGTGGCCAAGAATGTTTTTTTTTCTTTCCAGGTCACAGCTCATGCTCATTTATTTTTCAATTACATTTCTCGCACAATTCTCCCATTATTGATTAGAAATTCGCTTGTTTTTAAAAAAAACTTACAACATGTACAATCCCTCAAATTTGATGGTCACTCGAAAATCGGCCTTTGCTGTAGCCCACAAATGTTGCGAAATTCAAACGAAAATTCTTAGAAAAGATTTCGAAAGAAAATTATTTTGGAATTCAACCTATGTATGGTTGGCTTAACTAGAGAATACCTGTCTCCTATCTACCTTTAGGCAGTAATAGACCTTTCATCTGTCACACTCCTTTTCTCCTTTTTGCTCAAAAGGAATAACAAGGTTGTATTGAACATCTGTATGTATGAGTGTAGCTTGGATTTGATGTTTAACTTGAAACTGATGCTGTGAAACAGAAAAATAAGACAAGGCAAGAATCAACCATTCCCCCCCCCCCCCCCCAAACAAATTATTTCTACTAATCGTTCAAAATTTTCGAGCACATTAGAAATGCTTGCATATGTTAAAATGCATATTTAACACTCAACTACTTGTCTCTCCTGGACAACTTAAACTACCTATATCTTGTGAGGGACTCTGTTTGCATCTATTATATATATATATATATATATATATATATATATATATATATATTTTGTATTAATATTACTCCACTATATGCCGCTCAGATAAAAGAAAATGCAAGGTGAAATACCATATACCTGTACTGGTTCTCAAGTTAAATATTCATGAACTGTATTACTTGCTCTATTATGTCAGGTAGATCAATGTTTTCATTTTACTTGTACCTTAAATGGTTAAAATTCCCACTAGATAAACTGAATTATATCTGAGTGCAATCTATCCAACATAATGCAAATGTCAAAGAAATGGTTATAAAAATCAACAGACCCCTAAAGAGCTCACGGTGACTTTATAGTCCACTGGTGAGAGTTGTCACATGTTTAAATTTTTTTCAGGCTTCTTTCAACTCAGAGGGGATTTAGCCTCTATGCAGGGAAAAAAAAATAAAATAAAAAGAGGCCCTGTAACCTTGTAAACAGATAAGGATGAATCAGCCCTTACCAGAAGTGCTTGTCTGCATCCAGCAGGAACGGCAGTGCTAAAGCATACTCTGTTCTCTTCAAGAATGCTCTTCCCCGTTCATGATAGCCCATCGCCAGCATGAGAGCCTGCAGACACAAATCCAAGCAACGGAACAGTCAGAAACGTTCATAATTACACCAGGGATTCTGTGGCAGGAAAACTGGATCAAAGATCACAGAGATGAGTCTCTAGAGAGCCATTTTCAACCATCACCCAAATTGTAGCGATAGGAACTTGCCAGCTTTGAGATCTGACATAGTATGAGTCATTAAATGTCCATACTTTCCAAACTGAGGTTATGGATGTCAGGCAGACCTTTCATAATATGAAATGACAGTAAGCAGAGTACACTAATGATGTGTAAATAAAAAAGTATGGCAATCCAAACGCCAGATGTTTGCAATGTGGCAAATGAATGTTACTTCTGGACATGTTCAGCAAGCTGAAACATGGGATAGTCTGACCTTGGAGGCCACTCCGTTCTGGAGCGTGAGGAACTTCCAGTCATTGTGCTTGACACAAGCCGATCATGACTTGCAAATGAGTAACAATGGCTCTCTGTCTTAGGCCTTGTTTGCGCAGTCTTCTACTTGCATGAGAGCAGGGTGTACATTTGCAAAGCCCCAAGCAGCTTTGTTAAACCCTTTAATAGAAAATGTCAATTCCAAAACAGGAATGTTTAACACAGATCCTAATGGAAGTGATGACTGTCACATTATTCAAGCTGCTAGCAGGCTTCAGTAGGTTTTCAACAAGATCCACATATTGCTGAAGCCTACTGAAAAATACTGGCAGATTGTTTAAAGTGACTGTTATCACTCTCATTAGGATCCATGTTTAAAATTAGGGATGCACCAAAATTTTGGCCACCGAAACATATCGGCCGAAAATAGCCCTATCAGCATGCTGCCGATAGGAATAATTTAGCCGATACAGGAGAGTGTGTGTACTGCAGATGTGAGGGAAAGGCAGGAGAGGAGCAGTGTATACAGTGACTAGCTGTTGCTATATGTCAGTGCCGGTTTTTAAATGTAATTACTGGCTTTTTATTTTTTTCTTCACTATAGCTCACAGAATTAGCTGTCACTTTCCACCCAGCTAAAAGAAACAAGTTTCTTTTTAGTTTATTTCCCCGAAGTAAAAGAAAACAGTTTGCTTTAGCTCTGGGGAAAGTGACATCTAATTCTGTGAGTCATAGTGAAGAAAAAAAAAAGCCGGCAATTGCATTTACCAGGCACCGACATATAGTGATAGCCAGTGAGGGAGCCTTTATGTATACACTGCTACCTCACTGTGTACACTGCTCCTCTCCTGCCCCCTCCACTCTACAAAGAGGACCTGTCACTCATATGCTATCACATAGGGGACTATTGGTATCCTATGTGATAGCAATAAAATCATAAGTTTAAAAAAAAAAAAAAAATTATTATATATATATATATATATATATATATATATACACACACATACATGAAAGTATATATGAAAGTATTAAGGTTTGGTTTGGTTTTCGGCCACATGCATTCTGAATTTTCGGTTTCGGTACCAGAATTTTATTTTCGGTGAACCACTACTTAAAATGGTTGTAAACCTCAGACATGAAGCATCAACGAAGCATATCCCTCTAGTGTACTTCTCTCTGCTGCCTTGTTCTTCCACTATCAGCATGAATCCCTTCTGACAAAAAGGTGAACTTATCCTTTAACATATTGCATCGACACAATTTGTGATGAGATCTCCAGTGTCAAGCTTCCTTCTCTAACCAACATACCAGGCCCAACACCAAACTCTACACTCTCCTCCTTCGACCCCGTTACCATCAAGGAAGTTACCGAACTCCTTTCCAAGGCCTATTTCACCCCCTGTCCCCTGGATCCTGTCCCCTCATGACTGTTGCAGCCTCCTTCCTGCTCTATCCTAAACACTCTAACCGACATCTTCAACCTCTCACTCTCCATGGGCACCTTTCCCTCCCCACTCAAACATGCACTAGTTACCCCCATCCTCAAAAAACCCTCGCTGGACCCCACCTGTTTGAATAACTTAAGACCCATCTCCCTGCTCCCGTTTGCCTCCAAGCTTCTTGAGTGCCTTGTTCACAACCGTATAAACTGCTACCTCACCGACAACAACCTTCTTGATCCCCGACAGTCTGGCTTCCGCCCACAACATTCCACAGAAACTGCCCTACTAAAACTCACAAATGACCTACTAACTGCTAAAACCAACGGCCACTACTCCATACTCATACTCCTTGACCTTTCCGCTGCCTTTGACACAGTCGACCACCCGCTCCTCCTCAGTAAACTCCACTCCATCGGCCTCCGTGACTCTGCTCTCTCTTGGTTCTCCTCTTACCTTTCTCAGCACACTTTCAGTGTCACATACAACTCCTCCTCTTCCTCTTTTGGTTGGGGTACCCCAAGGTTCTGTTCTTGGGCCCCTCCTTTTCTCTCTCGCTATACCTCCTCCCTGGGCCAACTGATAACCTCCCATGGCTTCCAATACCACCTCTATGCTGATGACACCCAAATCTATCTCTCCACTCCCCAGCTCACCCCCTCAATCTCCTCACGTATCACAAATCTACTAAGCGACATATCAGCATGGATGTCACATCACTACCTTAAACTCAATCTTTTAAAAACTGAGCTTGTAATATTTCCTCCTCCCTGATCCCCCACTCATGACTTTACCATTAAGATCAACAGCACAACCATTGGTCCATCCCCTCATGCCAGGGTGCTAGGCGTAATCCTAGACTCTGACCTCTCCTTTGGGCTCCACATCTGCTCACTGGCTAATTCCTGCCGCCTCAACCTCCGGAACATTTCCAAAATCCGCCCCTTCCTGACCAATAACACCACAAAACAACTTATCCACGCCTTGGTTATATCCCGCCTCGATTACTGCAACTCCCTCCTCACTGGTCTACCGTTACACAGGCTACCCCCCTTCAGTCTATTATGAATGCTGCTGCTAGACTCATACACCTTACCAACCGATCAGCGACTGCTGACCCTCTCTGCCAATCCCTCCACTGACTTCCACTAACCCAACGTATAAATTTCAAAATACGAACCACAGCTTACAAAACCATCCACAACAGTGCCCCTAGCTACATCACCAACCTCATCCACAGATACCACCCAAATCGCCCACTCCGCTCCTCCCCATGATATCCTCCTCTCTAGCTCCCTCATCACCTCCTCCCACGCTCGCCTCCAGGACTTCTCCAGAGCCTCTCCCATCCTCTGGAACTCCCTACCACAGCATATCCGGTCAGCCCCCACCCTGTCTGCCTTTAGGCGATCTTTGAAAACTCACTTCTTCAGGGAATCCTACCCCACCACCACCTAAGAACTGTACTTGAATCACCTCCGCCAGATCATCCCCCGCAGTTATCACCTTTTGTATCACCTCACTCTTCCTTTAGATTGTAAGCTCCACGAGCCAGGCCCTCATATTCCTTCTGTACTGAAATGTATTGTAATTGTACTGTCTCCCTTATCTTGTAAAGCGCTGCGCAAACTGTTGGCGCTATATAAATCCTGTATAATAATAATAATATTGCAGTTTACGAGTCCTTGGCTGGTGGAAAATGCTGCACTGCCACTATATCATAGCTTTGTACTTTGGTCCTTACTATAGCTTTTAAAAAAACAAAAACTTAGCCCAACAATACAGTAGACATTCTTGTTGCTTCCCAAGACCAGAAAATCATGACCCTTCCAACAAAACCAGGACAGCTCACAGGTATCCTTTACTCTTATTTAAAGAAGAACTCCAGTACTTACCACTGTATTTAAAAGGTGCTGGATTACATTGGGTTAAGGCATTGTGCACTTATCTCTTCTATTTACAACTGACAGTTTTACTGAGCTCCATGAATACAATATCACTATATTCCTGGTGTTCTGACAGAGATGCAGTGGCTGGGTGCCTACCTGCCCCTCCTTTGCCCTGTTTATTCACAGAAGGCTTTGTATTCTATGAATGGGTTCACATAATACAAAGCATTCTGTGATTACGTAGAGAAGAGGCGCGGGCAGAGTGGCTGCACAACACTCTGCAGCTTCTGTATCTGAGACCCTAACATGCAGTGTTGGAGTATAGTAAAAGCTATACTCGTGGCACTAAATACAAATAATTAATTAAATCAAAAGTGATGTTCACAAGGTTTCATACACCACTGAAAGCCAGCACATTTGAAATAGAGAGGTATTTCATGGAGTTCTTCTGTAATTTATTCACATTTCATGTCTGAGGTTTACAGCCACTTTAACATTACTGCACGTTATTGATGAATGTAGAGTATAAACCACCAAAAACAGTTATTAAAGCCTACGTTTAGTCAAAAATGACAGAAAGATAAAAATAAAATAAGCACAAGGGAAATCACATACTATAAATGCGGCGTGTCCCTTCTGCTGCTGGCTCCTGCTTTAGTTGAAATCTTCTGACCTACAAAGCCATTCACAATGCCGCCCCAAACTACCTAACTGACCTGATACCCAAATACCACCCTACCCATGCCCTTCGCTCCTCACACTAGCAAACTTCAGACGGGCCCGGACATGTACTGGCTTAAGCAGGGGGACACGTCTGGCACTGCAGGATCTGAGTCCCTGGTGGAGTAGTGTGTTACTGATGGTAGCCTTTGTTACGTTGGTCCCAGCTCTCTGCAGGTCATTCACTAGGTCCCCTGTGTGGTCCTGGGATTTTTGCTCACCGTTCTTGTGATCATTTTAACCCCATGGGGTGAGATCTTGCGTGGAGCCCCAGATCGAGGGAGATTATCAGTGGTCTTGTATGTCTTCCATTTTCTAATTTTTGCTCCCACAGTTGATTTGTTCACACCAAGCTGCTTCCCTATTGCAGATTCAGTCTTCCCAGCCTGGTGCAGGTCTACAATTTTGTTTCTGGTGTCCTTCGACAGCTCTTTGTCTTCACCATAGTGGAATTTGGAGTGTGACTGTTTGAGGTTGTGGACAGGTGTCTTTTATACTGATAACAAGTTCAAACAGGTGCCATTGATACAGGTAATGAGTGCAGGACAGAGGAGCCTCTTAAAGAAGAAGGTACAGGTCTGTGAGAGCCAGAAATCTTGCTTGTTTGTAGGTGACCAAATACTTATTTTCCACCATAATTTGCAAATAAATTCTTTCCAAATCAGCCAATGTGATTGTCTGGATTTTTTTTCTCATTTTGTCTCTCATAGTTGAGGTCTACCTATGATGCCAATTACAGGCCTCTCTCATCTTTTTAAGTGGGAGAACTTGCACAATTGGTGGCTGACTAAATACTTTTTTGCCCCACTGTATGGCCTTTTACAAAATTTGTTTTACATATCTGGGGTTTATGCATTATTTGCACAGTTATTTTTGTATAGCTGTGAACTTGGCATGAATTTGTGATTCGTGATATTTGAACAATACTTATGCACTTGTAATTTATTTTATGTATGATTTATTCAAATTTGTTAAATCTACTGTATGTTTCTCATTTGTACAGGTCAATGAATATACAGTTAATACATGCACTTAATTCTTGTGGGGACTGTTATATAAATTGCAGCTAGACAAAGGTGCTGTGTTATCTTTTAGCGCTGGACGTTTTTGGTTTTTAAAAACGAAATAGTCGTCTGATACCATAATATTCTACCTTTTTCGCAGCTTTAGGCATATTGATTGAGCGTCCTGTTTGATTTGCAATTTCCAGGTATGGTACTGTATCTGGATCCAAGCTCTCACCTGTAGGAAAACATCATTTGGGATTTAGGGTTAGGTTAACTGATTTCTATGTAAAACACAGCAAGGTCAAAATCCTTACAGCTGGTTATAGATGTAAATGACAGTGAGATATCTGCCCATCCTCTGTAGCCCAAAAACATACTTGGGTGTGGAGGAGCAAATAAATGATTGCATTGTTCCAACAGCCATGATTTAGAAATTTTAAGAGACTTTGATATTGAACTTGGTTAAATTGACACTAAGTTGTGCTTTAAAAAAAAACAACATCTATTCAAGTATTTATTCCTAACTCAAAAAAAGTCTCTCCTATTGCTCTCAGGCTCCTCCAAATCTCTATTTTTTTTATTTTTGCTACTGTAATCCGACTTCCTGTTAGAGGGTGGCTACGTTCATTCTCCATGGTCCCACTATACGTAGGAATGTAACCACTCTCTGTTGCTTGCGCTCATGATGGACTATGGATTTGATGTGTATATAGTGCACATGACCATTATTAATGGCACCGCACAACTGAAGTGAGGGGGAAAAGGAGAGGTTTAGCAGCCATTAAAAGGCAAAAAACACAGTAAGAAACAATTTCATGAAAAATGTATTACAGGGCAGTTAAGTAGTGGATGTGCATGGAAGAGACTGCAACAGATTTTTGTTCCAGCAATGCAGCCAAAGTGTCGGATGCCTGTTTCCCCAGTCGCATGTTGGTTGGTTGGGTTGAAGAAAAAGCCAGGCAAGGGACACAGGCATCCTGCAACTCCCGGAGGATTCGCACAGCCTATTGCATTTTTTTGGTCAAGTTGCTGGGCAACAGAAGGAACTGAGTACCGTTTACTTTTGGAATTTTGGCTTAAAGTATTACTAAACCCATGACCCTGCATTCACTATATCATTTTAGTAAATCTAAACTGCTAAATACCTTTTCTCATCAGCAGTATATAGCAGTCTTTTGACATCTATCGTTGTCTAGCAGAGCACTGGTTTAAAGCTTTTAGGAGTTTTCATTCTCCCCTGACTGTCCTATGAGACTGCATAGCCCCTGACTCTCTGTCTGGACAGCGCTGACTGGCTGATCACATGCACTCTCCCAAGAAAAAAAAAAAAAAAACATCTAGCAGTACACACAAAACTGAGCATAAGCAGCTTGCCCCCAAGACTCTGTCCTATCAGCAGATAGATTGGGGACAATAGAATAAGGGGAGGATCAGAGAAGACAGGATCAAACATCCTTTTTACACAATGCAGAGGATTAACCCCTTAGGTTCAACGGTGAGTATAACAAGCATGCTTCACTGCATATACAGACTGATTTTACTGTTGTGGGTTTAGTAACACTTTACCCTAGATTCACGCCTAAGCGTTTTCCACAGTGTTTTGCAGAAACGCACTACAGTCCATTTAACATGATTTCCTATGGGACAGGTTCACATCTCCACGTTTTCACCCGATGCAGTTTTTGGAAAGAGCCAGGAACTATTTTAAACGCAAAATGTTGCGGTTTTTGTTTCTATAGACTTCAATGGAAATGCTGCAGAAAAGCATGCAAAGCGTTACTGATGCGTTTTGATGTGTTTTGTGTGTTTTAAATCTGCCTAGCAACAAAAAAAAAAGCATCAAAAACGTGGGAAAAAACACATCAAAAACGCAGTACAAAAACGAATCAAACGCAAACTGCATAGGTATGAATCTGCAGTTAAGGAGAGTTCAGCTTGAAGTGCAGCTTTTACTAGAAGCGATATGGACATTGGGGAACAGAAACGTTTTAAAGGGATCACATAGACAAACTTTCCAAGTGAACAAATACTAAACAAACATGTCTAGTGAATAAACAGCATGTCTCTTTTCTGTATAGTAAAAAAAAAAAATAATTTTTAACTCCTAAAAGGTGACTGGTGAGTAAACAGGATGTTAAAAGATTGGGTGCGAAGAAAAACTGCTTAGTAAGCTGACGATTTCTAAATATTTCATTAATTGCCTTCTTATGTTGGAAACATTCACATGAACAAATACCGGAGTATTTCTGAGTGATAATATAGCAAATCATCCTTTTAGAACTGATGGTAATATATTACCCCTGGTTCACATCTGTGCGGGTGGTGCCACTGCGGATCCACACAAAAATCCGTGCAGCCGAATCACCCGCACAGAGGAATGCGGACCCAAGGGCAGGTGCCATTACTTCTAATGGAACGCCGCCCACACTGGAAATCGCAACTGTACTGGGAACGGAGGTACCCGTGCGGGCTGCGTTTTCTGAAGAAGTTCAGGGACTTCTTCTCTGCGTGTCCTGGGGGGCACGGGAGTCCATTCAAATGAATGGGCTCTCATGCCTGCGCAAAACGCGGCCCGCAGGAACGCGGAGATGTGAACCTAGCCTTAGGTGGTAGGCAGATCTTGGAGAAAAATGCAGGTGGGTTAATTATTTATCAGCTGACTGCTGTTAAGAGGCTGGAATCTCCATATACTACTGATTACATAACTATGCATTGCAACAAATGCATCATTGCCTTTGCAGATGGTGCTTTGGCAAAGGCTGGCAGTCAGATCAAGAACACACAATCCAAACAGCCTTTAATGCCACAGAAAGCTTAAAATCAACCTGTGCTTTATCCACGCAGGGCAAGCAGGAGTTCGATTCCCCCCCTCTCCTCCACTGCAGCACATATTCACTCTTCCTTTGTTTCTGTTCGGATGCTGTGAGCCCCAGATCCCAGGCTGTTCTGATCTGAAGATTACTGGAAATACTTCCAGGTTATGCCTAAAATTTGCAATCCTAACATGCTAACTGCCTTAAAGTGAACCTTTTGCTTTCACCTGTATGGGAAGATTCCCATTATGGACTGGAAACACAGCTGTAGTCCAGGAATGGACCATCGCTTACTTTAGATATGCATTTAAAATTCTTAAAGCTATACAAGCTCAGACTCTTCGACAACCAAAAACTGCATGACAACCATTCAAACACAGTGCTGCCATAAAAGCACCATTGCATTTGAAGAGTGTGACTTCATCCGACTCAGCAATGTACTGTAAATAAGAGAAGTGTGATGCGTCCGTGAGAATTCCAGTTAATCTGGACCCTGATGCAAAACAGAACGTACCCCGATCTGCCAGGATTTCCAGCCCTCGTTTTGTACGCATCATCTTCTTCTTCACACTCTCCTGCTTCTGTGCCTCCTCTTCTCGTTCCTTCTCCTCATTGTGGACCCTCTTCCTTGCCTCTTCCTCTGTGTAGCTGAATTCAAGGACCAAAACCTTGGAATTGTGACCAACTCCTTGTTCTTGCAGAGTTTTAGCTAGTAGAAACAGATTTACTCGTGAACCAAAATTCTGTTATTATTGCATATCATCAACAAAGGCTACAAGACATTTTCATTCAATATAGAATCATCTCTATCTAATAGAACAGTATATATCTTAATGTACATTACAATTATAGTAGGCAGCACAGTGGCTAAATGGTTAGCACCTCAACCTGGCAACACTAGGGTCGTCGGTTTCGAATCCCAACCATAGCACTACCTGCCTGGAGTTTGTATGTTCTCCCTGTGCGGGTTTCCTTCGGGTATTCTGGTTTACTCCAAAGACATGCTGGTAGGTTTATTGGCTCCTATCTAAATTGGCCCTAGTATGTATGAATGCGAGTTAGGAACGTTAGATTGTACGCTCCTTGAGGGTTAGGGATTGATGTGAATGTACTTATATATATATATATATATATATATATATACACACAGTGGGGCAAAAAAGTATTTAGTCAGCCACCAATTGTGCAAGTTCTGCCACTTAAAAAGATGAGAGAGGCCTGTAATTGGCATCATAGGTAGACCTCAACTATGAGAGACAAAATGAGAAAAAAAAATCCAGACAATCACATTGGCTGATTTGGAAAGAATTTATTTGCAAATTATGGTGGAAAATAAGTATTTTGTCACCTACAAACAAGCAAGATTTCTGGCTTTCACAGACCTGTACCTTCTTAAGAGGCTCCTCTGTCCTGCACTCATTACCTGTATCAATGGCACCTGTTTGAACTTGTTAGCAGTAATAAAAAGACAACTGTCCACAACCTCAAACAGTCACACTCCAAACTCCACTATGGTGGAGACCAAAGAGCTGTCGATGGACACCAGAAACAAAATTGTAGACCTGCACCAGGCTGGGAAGACTGAATCTGCAATAGGCAAGCAGCTTGGTGTGAACAAATCAACTGTTGGAGCAATAATTGGAAAATGGAAGACATACAAGACCACTGATAATCTCCCTCGATCTGGGGCTCCACGCAAGATCTCACCCTGTGGGGTCAAAATGATCACAAGAATGATGAGTAAGGTAAAAATCCCAGGACCACACGGGGGGACCTAGTGAATGACCTGCATAGAGCTGGGACCAACGTAACAAAGGCTACCATCAGTAACACACTACGCCGCCAGGGACTCAGATCCTGCAGTGCCAGACGTGTCCCCTTGCTTAAGCCAGTACATGTCCGGGCCCGTCTGAAGTTTGCTAGAGAGCATTTGGATGATCCAGAAGAGGATTGGGAGAATGTCATATGGTCAGATGAAACCAAAAATAGAACTGTTTGGTAGAAACACAACTCATCGTGTTTGGAGGAGAGAGAATGCTGAGTTGCATCCAAAGAACATTATACCTACTGTGAAGCATGGGGGTGGCAATATCATGCTTTGGGGCTGTTTCTCCGCAAAGGGACCAGGACGACTGATCCATGTACAGAACAGAATGAATGGGGCCATGTATCGTGAGATTTTGAGTGCAAACCTCCTTCCATCAGCAAGGTCATTGAAGATGAAACGTGGCTGGGTCTTCCAACATGACAATGATCCCAAACATACCGCCCGGGCAACGAAGGAGTGGCTTTGTAAGAAGCATTTCAAGGTCCTGGAGTGGCCTAGCCCAGTGGTCGGCAAGCCACGGCTCGCGAGCCACATGCGGCTCTTTACACACTTTAATGCGGCTCTTCTGTGTGCCGGGTGCCCGCTCCCCTCCCTCCTCTCGGGCGGCCGCCCCAAAAGTCAGGACTCTGCAGCTAGCCCAGCAATGGGCAAACTACGGCCCGACGGACCTTTTAATCCGGCCCGCGGAGCGTGGCAAACATTGGCTGTCAGGATGTAGGCGGGGCAGCGTGACGAACTCCTCTCCTCTCACAGTCCGCCCTGAAGACCGGAACGGCGCGGGAACACGCGAGAGGAACGCGCGGAGCAAAGGTAAGTGAATTGACACAATATGGGGAATGAATTACTATAGGGGGGATGAATTACTATAGGGGGGATGAATTACTATATGGGGGATGAATTACTATGGGGGATGAATTACTATATGGGGGAATAATTACTATGGGGGATGAATTACTATATATGGGGATGAATTACTATATGGGGGATGAATTACTATATATGGGGGGATGAAAATGTGGCTCTCAAAATAAATTTCAATCGTGGTTTTGGCGAGATTTGGCTCAGTTGAAAAAAAAGGTTGCCCACCACTGGCCTAGCCAGTCTCCAGATCTCAACCCCATAGAAAACCTTTGGAGGGAGTTGCAAGTCCGTGTTGCCCAGCGACAGCCCCAAAACATCACTGCTCTAGAGGAGATCTGCATGGAGGAATGGGCCAACATACCAGCAACAGTGTGTGCCAACCTTGTGAAGACTTACAGGAAACGTTTGACCCTCTGTCATTGCCAACAAAGGATATATAACAAGTATTGAGGTGAACTTTTGATATTGACCAAATACTTATTTTCCACCATAATTTGCAAATAAATTCTTTCCAAATCAGCCAATGTGATTGTCTGGATTTTTTTTCTCATTTGTCTCTCATAGTTGAGGTCTACCTATGATGCCAATTACAGGCCTCTCTCATCTTTTTAAGTGGGAGAACTTGCACAATTGGTGGCTGACTAAATACTTTTTTGCCCCACTGTGTGTGTGTGTGTATATATATATATATATATATATATATATATATATATATATATAGTTGATGCCTAGGCAGATGTAAAAGACACCACCAATGCATGTAGCTAGGTATTCATTAATACATCTTTAAACATAAATTTTAAATGAAAGCAGTGTAAGCAAACAAATTTGATTTGGAAGGGGCAGGCCTGAGAGCCAATCAGGTGTGTTACATGAAAATGTGCTGACAAGGAACATGCTAATTAAAAGACAGCAGAGAGTGAAAAGGGATGACCTTATCAGTCTGCTGCTGCTCTTGCTGTCTGGTCAGCAAGCTGGGGGTGGAGGGAAGACGGTAATGTATTTCTTCTGCAGTCTTCTGCAATTGCAAGAGAGAAAAATGGTGTCATTCTGGGGTGTTGTTAAGGGGGAAAGTAAAGTGGTCTCCTATTCAGTGCCCTATGAAAGGTACCCACACTATGACAGTACACAGGTGTCTCTATGATGCTCCGTGTTATGTCTCCCCCGAAATGTATACCTCACATACAGCATAGGTCAGAACAAGGACCCTAGGCTCCTCCTTGATGGTCAGAATTGTGACCTCTGAATACTTTAGTGGTCTGAACCACTGAAACACAATGGATTTATCTGTTGACTTTTTACCTTTCAAATGTGATTTAATGAAAGAAAAAAAGGTCTTACACCCATAGTAGATACAATATAGCAAAGTGACAATTAAATAGGCAGGGTCATAAATCCAAGACAACCGGCATCTTTGACTTTTTATCAAGATTATTAAACTTTCTGCATTCTGATCCTTTACACTTTATTCTGATCACTCCAGGGACCCCTTTAAGAGGAACATGTTTATCTTACGGTCCAGCACTCCAAAAATGTGTTCTTTTGTGATTTGGCGCTGTCACATGACACACAGCTGAAGGTAACGTAGGACTCGCCATCACTGTGCGCACAGAGCTGCTTAGTACCTGCGCTGTGAAAAGTCTAAATAGGAGAGGTGTGTATAGAGGTATAGAGGATGGGATGTCTGATGGAGGCAGATCTGTAATTTTAGGAACTGGGTGATTGTGTTGAAGGGAGGTGTGTGCTTCTTTTTTGGGGATGGGGGAGATTATTACTGGAGGGAGATTAGTACTGGAAGGAATTTTTTTTTTTTCTGGGGGGATATGTGGGGTGGTGGGTGTGGGGCGATTAGAGATGAGGGAAGAACTGTGCTGAGAACAAGGTCATAGAAAGAAAGAGTGACAGAGAGATGAACTTATCAGACTGCATCATCTTCTTTTCCAATCACAGTCAGGGAATAGACAAAACCTCACAAACAAAGGAATTTCCCAGCACACTTACCAGGCAGCCTGCAAAACAACCAAAGTGGCTCTGTACACCAGTATGTGGCAAAAACGGAGGGTTTTGTTTGCACACATTAGCAAATATATAAAACAGAAAAGGTTCCCCTTAACCCTCTTGTTTACTATTGTATTGTAACTGTACTGTCTCCCTTTATAAAAAGCGCTGTGCAAACTGTTGCCGATATATAAATCCTGTATAATCATAATTTATATGATAGATCTAATACTGTGTGAGCTGATTTTCATTTTCATTTGTGTTCCCCTTTTTGTTCACACTCATGTTAGGGTTGCCATGAATGGCCTGATGTAACCCCTATACAATGACCCAATGGAACATTTCTAACATTGTTATTGAAACGCAACCAGACAGTTACTCTGCATTTCACGAGGTGAGAAAAAAGACAGAATTCACTATGCGTTTGAGAACATGCAAGGCTTGGTGGATATCGCTCCACCCATTGTTCTTGGGGAGACCTCTAATATAGAGAATATATAATATAAATAGCCTTGGCCAGAGTTAATCTCCTTGTAAAAGAATGTAAAAACAGTGCTCTAGGAGACTTGCTATTGTTGTTTGTTCACATTCATCCTATTAAAATAAAATAAATGGCTGCAGTGTCATTCAAAAAAACTGCAAGAAGACATCCCACAGCGCGGCCACAGAGAGGAAGCCAATGCACATCTGCAAGGCATTAATTTTCACCGCAAGGCACTTTTAGTGGCTTAGATATCAGTTACAGGGTTTACAGAGAGAATCCTCCTGCCCCGGCTTTGACAGCACTAATGAATAATGTGTGGAGCAGCTTTATAATCAGTCGGTGCTCAGCTGGAACATATTGGGCTCGGTGACAAGCTTGTGACACGGAGAGCAATGTAGTACAACCAGGTGATGGGAAAGGAGCAGCAGGGGGCTGGAGATGTTAGGCTGAGATGGAAATAGAATATATTATTTCATTTTGTATCAACTAATTCAGTACAAAAGAAAATACTATTGACGGCTCAGGTGAAAAAACGATG